CCGCAGCCCGGGCACCGCGTCCCGGCCCCCGCCCCAGGCAGCCGTTCTCCCCCGCAGCCACCGCGGCCGTTCAAAACGAAAAAAAAAGATGCTAAGAGCTTCAGATTCCCTCGGTGCTTCATGAGTATCTGATTGTTTAGTAAAATAACGTGGCAGACTTCAAGGCAGTCTCCACAGCAGAATTATAAGGCACTCCGAGGAAAAAATTGGCTGTAACTATTTTCTGATAAAGTGCGTTGTCCTTCTCCGATCACTAATAAACCACCTTATTCTGCAAAGAGATCACGCTGCTTGACCTGCCTTCTTCAAAGGATTTGAAGTCCCGGCGAGGGGGGCATATCTTAGCCAAAGCAATGATACCCCGGCGATTAGCGCTGGCTGGCGACTGCCACTGCTAGTGGAGAGCGGAAAAAACAATGGAGAATGTGGGGGTTTCGTTCTGCTAGCCCCTTCCCCGCTCGCCCAGCCCCTGCGAGGAGGGCCGGGGGCTGCTTGGGCTGCGGGTTGTCTCTGCAGAGCCTCCTCCTCGAGCCACGGCCTCCTATTTTCAACAAAACAGGTTTTCTGATCTGCGAAAGACCCACCAGCGGCTGTCACGTTGCACCGGGAAGCCTGGGAAGTCCTAAAGCGGAGCCCGGTGCGTGTGGGGTTGGTGGGCTTGCCCACGGGAGGGGAGCGGGGAGGCTGGGCGGCCCACGCAGGGCCCAGCCCAGGGACTGCAGGTGACCGGGCCGCCCGGGGCCGTTTGCTCCCGTAGGAAAATCAAACCAACCAGCTGCTGAGCTGACCGTAAGATGCGGATCTCGCCCTGGGACACAGGTGACCTCAGCAGCCTGTCTCACAAGGGTTCGAGCTTACTGAGGCGGGTAACAACGTCTAATTCATCCCTCCCTGCTCCTTCTGTAGCTATTTACATAAGGCTGCAGAAATACACACTCTTGCCATACGAAGTGCAGTGTGAATTGTTCATCTCGGTTCTCTAACGTCTGCACCTTCATTTTCGAAGTGTTTCCAAAAAAAGTATTAAAAGACGCTGCTGACACATAAGCCTGTCCTTGAGAGGGTGGTTGAGGCTCCAACCTTCCCACAGCGGTGGGTCAGCTACCAAACCCCCCTGATGCTCTTGTGCGTTGTTCGTTCTGCCTGAGCTGAATTTTAAAAGAAAACACAAACCCTGGACTTCATCCTCTTTCATCCCTGTAGCACAGAAGGCGTAGAGCGTGATTCACGCTCTTTATTGGTATAAGATTACTCTTTAATTGCAGCGAAAATCCATCCTTTCAAAAGCATTAAAGCGTTGACGTTTCTTTTCTCAATACAAGCCAATATTCAGATTACATGGACACTAATCAAATAACTCGAGTTATTTCATTTGTCAACATGTTCATAAGAATTTTCTACCAGGCGTTAAAGGCATTTATATGGAACGACATCTTTCAAAAGCAATGTCGCTAGTCCAGGTTTAGGGAATATTTGATTATGACAAGACGTTTGATGGTTTTATTTTACATACCAGCTGTGCGACAAATGGTTTCGTACCACAAACAAATTCCTAATTTTGTATCCCGAGAGTACTTTTTGTGAAGGAGTAATTTACATTTTAAGCCGTCTTTGTCGGTACCTGCAGCTCGCAGAATAGCCTTATACTCAGAAGTGCTGCCAGGTGCTCTAAAGGACAACTGACCAGGGGGCTTTAGAGGTGCTTTGGTTTTATTCATGTGTCTCCCCTACCCCACCAACTTTAAAAGAAACTCTTATTTTACAAGTACCGTTATAAGGGGAAATCCCGTCCGCCTTCTGAGACCCCCTTGCTGCAGTTCGCAGCCGCTCCCGCTGCGGCTTCTGCCCCGGGAGGGGCTCCGCGCCCCCCGAGGGAGGGGGTGGCCCCGATCCCCGATGGAGGGGACAGCTGCGGGCACGGCTCGGTGCCGGCGGGGGGGCCGGGGG